AAAAAGACTCCGTTCAAGCGTTCGTGAGCCACCGCATGCGCTTCAGGTCGTGTGCCTGCTTCTCTTCTCAAGGGAATTTCACCGCTTCCCGCGGCGATCCCTTCCCATGGATGTGAGCTTCGCGATGGGCATTCACCAAAGCCTAAGGGAACAACCCGGCATGAATGTGGGCACGGGCCATGCCGGTGCAACTTCCCTCTGAGCCTCTTTGTGTTCACGATCGCATCACCGCAGAAGCCCGGAAGTGCTCGGCCCCGGCCCGAGGCCAAAAAGGCTCTCAACGTTCGATTCTTATCGCTGGGAGGGGGGGGGGGGCTTTCGTGGCCTTTGCTTCCAGCCAGAACCCTTTGCCAGGCGCTACACTCCTCTGTGAGCGAGCATTGATGCAGAAATCCATGCACATATCTATATGTTGCTTTTTTGTGAACGCTGTTCGTGTCTGGTGTTCGCCCGTTCGCCTTCCGCCCGTGCAAACCCCAGGAGCTCGGTGCAACTAGACGTAATTAGAGACTCTGTCTATCTATCTATTCATCTATCCAGCTATCTATCTATCTGTCTATCTATATATATATATATATACATGTAAACATATATATATATATATATACACATGTATACATAAATAAATAAATAAATAAATAAATAAATACATAAATAAATACATACATAAATAATAAATAATAAATATATATATATATATATATATATATATATCTCTTTTGCAGCGGCCGGCGGTCGCGTCCTGCAGCTCGGGGCAGCGGCCGAGAAAGGAGAGAATTGTGGCCGAAGCTTCGACGCCCTCGGACTCGCTGCTGAAGCACCTCGGGCTGGAACCCTAGCTGTACTCAGCTGTGGAGTTCATGTTTCATGCTTGCCTAAATGCATGGAAACGTTCCATTCCATTTAGCCGCTTTATACACACCCACACTCAGCTTTATTGGTTCCTGAAAGCATCGAAACTTCCTACCGACATGGCTTGGCGCGGGCCACCTCAAACGACAATTTGTAAGACCGCTCCTGTGAAACGACTGGGTGTCTGCCACCTGAAACTGTGGCACCACTCCCACATCCCCCTCGCACCCCCACCACCATCTCGAGAGCATCCACGCGCACTCCAAGAGGTCCCCTCGCCGAGGCACGCTTCGAAGTCCCCCTTCGCGAGCCTCGGCCAATGGGCGCCCTCGAGCTGCTGCCACGCCGCAGCCGGGATGTGAGAGCAGTGAGCCATGGCGAGGTCCTGGCCGGTTTCGGGTGCTATTTGCTACTCTAAAGAAGGGAAGCTGT